GTCAGCGATATGTTAAATGTAAATATGGAAACATATAATCACTTTTATTAAACTTTGAATAACTTATATTATATATATTTTTTTAATTACGTAAGCAAATTTTTGTTCATAAAAGGGCGCAGCAGTTTGAATTCATTTAGAACGGGAACATACCTTTTTGTCAAAAGCCTACAAAGCGCTTTCAAATAAAACATTTGCCTATTCGAAACTTTGAGGCGCTTAAAGCAAGTGAAGCAAAGCTGCCATTTGGCCAGCCTTCATACGTTTTGGTATATTCCAAATAACTTTTGACAGTTCTCAAAGCGAGGCAAGCAAAGCAAGCCTGCATTGGGCCAATACCTTTAGATGATCGTAATATTTTTCTGATCATTTGAGACAACATGTTGGTGAGTTCCTTTGAGAGTTGAATTTGACAGCTAATGTATCAAGTCGTTCAGAAGACGCATAACGATCACTGATTTTTTTAGCAACGGTTGCGCTCAACTGCTGCGCCTTCTGAACCTACCCATTGATAGCTTTTTTTTTTTGATAACACTGTGCGACAGCTCAAATCGGTACATGAACCAAAAATACAAGATCACGCCTTCTTCTTAGTAGCCCGTTATAATCGCAATTAGGAAAAAAGTAGGGTGACTTTGACATTAGCCGTTTATTTACATTTTTTCGTTGTTTAAAATTTGGTGGTGGCTTTTTACTGCAATTTTCTTAATTTTCGCTTGTGACAACGTGTGCACACATAAGGTAAAGAATAATTTAACACAACGACATATTTTTATATTTGCATAATAACAAGTAAGAAAGTCTAAGTTCGGGCGGAGCCGAACTTTAAATACCCGGCGCAAGTATTAAATATATGTTTTCTACCTTTCCGAAAGCTACCGCTACATGATAAGCCGGCGTNAGAGGTGTATGAATGGCGAAAGAAAACCTTTATCCGATTTTTTTTTAAATCGAAACTACATTTTTATTTAATATGAAATTGAAATTTTCACATCAATTTGCACAATCTTCAAACCCATGGTTTCAATTGTACGCATTTCGTCAGGGTTTTCCCCACAACTTGGTTTTGCTGCAGTGAAGCGACATTTAAAATGCATTTAAAGTTTCTGAGGTTTCATTTACTTTTACATCATAATTGTCAAAATTGAGAAATTCAAAGTAGCAGTACAATAATCATAGAAAAGAAGATTGCGCCCTGAATGTTTTGGTATCTTTTTTGGTTTGGGTTTGACAGCCAGCTGCTGTGATGATCTGGAAATTTACCACAATGAAGAAAAATTTAACAATTAAGTGAAAAAATTAGATTTTTACAAATTTAGTGAGCAGTAGCAAGTTTCAAGAACGATATTTCGGACAAATCGTTAATGAACAACTATTTTTCCTTCCCGTCTGCTTTGGTTTTGGCAAAAAAGTTGATTAGTTCCTGCCGAAGATCAAGTCATTTCAACCACAAAATATAATTAAATAAAATACAATTATATTAAGAAACAAGTAAAGAAGTATAAGTTCGGGAGAAACCGAACTTTATATACCCAGCGCACGTATTAAATATCGTTTTTTCACCTTTCAGTAAACTGCATGATAAGCAAGAGTATTTTTCCCGATGTCAAACAGTTTCGATAATATGCTATGATATATTGAAATAATTGGAGCAAGTTTGATGGAAATCGATAAGGCGGATACTTGAGTATGTAGTCATAAGTGGATGGTGGCACGCCCATTGTACAAAAATCAATCATTGCGTCTTGTTAAGAGATTGTTATAAGTTGGCGTCTTTAGTTATTGAAATATCGGAACTTTCGTATTTCTGAAATTTACCTTTATGTGGTAAATGGCGGTAATTTTAGCCCGATTTCAAAAATTTTCAACATATTGCTTTTTTGCGCCAAGGTTGATAAATGTGCCGAGGCGTAAGTGGCCAGTGCCACGCCCATTTTCCAAAAATGTCCTATGTATTTTTTTCTGCTGTGAAGTCATTGTATATATCGATTTTGAGTAAATCTATATATAAATACGCCACAAGAAAATTTTGCAGTCCCTTTTCTGAAGGCACCGTTCGCTCGATTTCAATGAAACATACACCGATTTAAAGGATATAACTTCCTCTAATGTGAATCCCGATACATAGGGGTCGTGGCATTTGACATATAGACTAAAATGTGAAAACCACTATATCTATAAATTATGCTGGGGAACTGAAACTTGGCACATATGCATAGATTGTAAATACCCTACTAACGGGAAAAATGGTAGATACTGGGAAAGTGGGCGTGGCGCTTCCCATACAAACTGAAATTCTCATATCGCTTATCTCTGGAACCACTTATTATAAGGTAATGGAATTTTATTCACCTACATTTATACACATATAAAATCACAAGAATCATTCAATTTTCTCACAGATTTTAAAATCGCATTGAATGATTGTTGTTTTGTGCAAAAGTTTTCAGAAGGATCAGTGTGTTTGTCTTCCGATAGGTGGCGCAGGGATTGAGAGCTATCCTAAAAATTCATACTTATGATCATATTTGTTTCACTTTTAGAACACATATTAGTAACATTAAATTTGGTGTAACTTGGTAGCCCAGTCGTGTGATTAAAAAATATTGGGCTTTGGCCCAGTCTTGACAAAAACCCGTGTGAAACCGGCGCTAGGGAAGGAAATATTATCTTTTGTTGTAAACCTTTCTCAACCGTTAACGATTTTGATGAAAAAAAGAAAGAGTTTATGTAGATGTGGGCAATTTAGTTTTTAACCTCCAAGAGGCTCTCAAACAAATATAATCGAAAAACTTATTTACAGTCTGAATTGGTATCTGTTTGACATATTAGTCAGTGATGAACATCTCATCTATACATACAAATACATATGCATATTTTTAGTAAATGAAAATCGAGGTTCCTTTTTCGGTCTAATTTCAAAAGCTACTGAAGAAATTTGGAGGAAACTTGGTAGAATTACCATTAATCTATTCGGTATTAACGTTCATAATTCGATTTTAAGTTTTCTGTAAATTCGCTATAAACTATGCTGGTCGACTTCAAAATAGTAATTCGCATAAAGGAGTCAGTATTGGTGACAGTTAAAATTCAAAATTTTATGAAAAAATATGTCGAATTTCGACAACTGGGCGATACTAGTTAGCTTAGTTAGTTACTAATTTATCGCAGTTTTCGTATATCTGTAAATTACCGTTATATGGGAGGTGGGCGTGGTTCTTGTCAAACATTAATTCGCTTGAAATTTGGATCCTAGATAGCTTAGTGCCGCGATTCACATATACTATATGTCATATAGGATAACCTTTTAAGGTAGGTGGATCAGGGACCACAGTATTTTTTGTTATGGCCAACGCAGGCGCCGCGAACCAAGCGGGTATTTTCTAGTATATATGTGTGTATATAAACCGAATCCTTTAAGCCTTTTGGAAAGTAATTACTTTAGAATTTAATTTTTATTTGAAAACCAACAGCATTAGTTATATATATATAAAATAGCCATAAATAGACTAAGTATATCAGAGAAACAAAATTTACATTTTGCAGGCCTGTGTTATTAGTCAAGCGAAAATTACAATTTAATTTGCCCAGATCAAATGTGTTTTTGGTCCAAGCCTTGACATACGTACATTTTTTAAAAGTGACATAGTGGGTTTTGAGATATTGCTCAAAGGACCACCTCTACAATTTCGATTTATACATGTACATATACCTATAGCCCATCCAAATCATTTATACTAATGTTGGGACCTTTTCCAAAGCTACTTATTTTTCCCCCTTTCTACTACTTTTAAAATGCATGCCACAATTCAGACAGTCTACCCTTTGGTGAATTCGTACTGACATCACCTTCTCTTATTCCACCATGACATAAGAAATTGTATGTAAATAAAACACCAATTTTTCAGATAGTTTTTAGTACAGAGACCTTAAGTTTACTTGTACATGAAAAAATTTGTAACTCCCCTCCCTCCTGTCTCACTCTTTATATGGTATCAAGGCATGATTCAATAATAAAAGGTTTGCTCAGAAAACAGTTTTCTCGCTCCCTCTTGACAAAATCGGCTCCCTTAGCAAGGGAGTGTCAAAACTCTAATGTCATTAATTAGCAAACCTTTATTTATTGAATCATCGAAGCACTCATTGCTTTGTGTGCTTTGTGGATCAAATTCTTGTAAAAAAAAAATTGTTGCACTATTCTAGGGGATTCAGGTATAATAACTTGTAAATTCTATAATAACACACTTTTCATTAACTATGTAAAAAATATTGTCAATTACTTCTTGTTACAGATGGGCAAGATGTACAAGAAATTGGCGACCACGTCGAACCATACTTGCTGTATGCCGATAGTGCAATGAATGAAAATTAAGAATAAAATAATGTATTTATAAAGTGTTTACATGAGTATACATATGTATGTTTGGTTGACTACGCATCTCAAAAACGGAACAAAAAAATTTAAACCGTCAGACTAAGAAAACCCCTCTAGATAATTGTCAGATTGTGGAACAGCACGACCAGGGCAGCGAGATGAACCCTCTGTATGAAAATCTGAAGCGCTCGAGTAAATCGAAATGGCAATTTTTTTGTATCTTCAAAAAGACGCCACGAATTTGCGCCACATCTCAATCGTCAGATTTGTGAACATCTGACGCGCTTAAGTAAATTTTTTTCGCCCTTTTTTAACCCTTCCGTACGCCCACCTCCACCATGCAAAAAGGCAGATTAGCATATCTCCGTCATCAGAAACACATTTCTGTTATTCACTATCAATATCTGTTACGTTCGGTAAAGCCATGTAACGCTTACTTTTACATTTTCGGAAGCCTGTAGATCCTCCACCCACCGCTGAAAGGAAATACATCACATGAACTTTTGTTTCTTTCTATCATCTAATTATCAAAATCCATTAGGTCAAAACGACGCTCGAGTAAATTCCGATCTAGCATCGTGAGATCCCTTACTATAAATATATATGTTATAGTATTGTTACTTACTTTTTTTTCGTGGAGTGCGTAAACTTCAGAGCCAATTTCTGCAGTATCCTTTTTCATACCATAGTCACCGGGTTCCACGTAGTTATTTTCCTGTAAAATATAACTCGTTAAATTTATAAACCAAACATGAAGACTGTTCCGAAAAAAACATTCCCACGACACGCATACGCAAATAGCATAGTAAAACCGGTCAAAATTATCTATATATAGTATAATACGGGAAGGGATTTTTTGTCCAGGTCATCAGATCTGCACCGTTCGTCCGATTTACAAAAATGAGGTGTCAAATTAAAGGACTTGGGCTGTAGATGTGGTTTTACTTTTTCGAAAAGAGTTCACACCTCTTAAACAATTAAACTCTATTTTTACTAATCAGTGTCATCAGATCTGCACCGTTTGTCCAATTAAAGGGCTTGGACCGTATAGCTGCAATAAGGTTACACTTGTTCGAAAAAGTTGCCACCTGTTAAGAAATTAAGCAAGATTATTAAAAAAGTTAAATCCATTGTTACAATATGGGTATCAACCGAATTGGTTTTGAAAAGGCTTTATATCTTAACTACATGTAGGAGAGTTGCCACATATTTAAAAAATGTAATTCAGTTTTAATTAAAAGAATTAGGTAAGTGAATAAGGTATCACCATATGGGTGTCAGACAAAAGAGGTTTTAGAAGGTAATAGTTTGAAATTATTTTGAAGAGGGTTACCACCCGCTTGAAAAGTAGAATGAAATTAATTTATACCCAAGATATATTTAAAAATAGTTGTCAAATGAAATTTAAAAATGGATTGCACCCCTCCCCTGTATCCGCCACTGTGTGCAATAAGGTTTTATTTTTTGAAGTTAGAACTTTTTAGAGGTATAGAGTGCTTGAAAATTTTATGACAAGAAAAGCCGACACCATGCGAGACCTCTCTTCCCTCAGAAATGTCTTTATATAAATAATTTGGAAATTGTTTGGGGGTTTTTAAAGGGTTTCAACCTGTTTAAAAAGTTTCATTCACTTTTGGCGTTTTAACGCCATGCGGGTTCACTAGTTTTATGTATTTTTCAACTCAGTAACAAAAAAAAACATCAAACTTAATTTTAATTAGGGACTTACAGCCAATTTCACGAAAGCAATTTAAGTGAAAAATTATTTTCATTATTTGAATTTTATATGGAAACACCAACAACAATTCACGTTTACCATTTTCATTGACACATTCATCTGCTAAGATTGTGGTTTGGTGGTCATTTGCCGCTTTAAATAACCTAACGAAAGTGTTATGGCCGTGAAGGAGTTCTTGAAATTCTCCAATTGTGCATCACTTCATAGCACGGTTAATCGCAAAACGAAACAAATTTGAAGAACTTTTTCTCTTCACTCCCTGGCGGCAATAATGATTCGGTTCTATAGTGAATCTGTCCTAGAAGCTTTAAAGTATAGTTGGTGGCAATTTCAAAATGGGTGCGTATCATTGTCTTACAGAAATGCAATATACATACATATACTTACTTCAGACGAAATACCTTAAACGCTTAAACGCATAATATTGAAAAATCACATCCATTGGGCCAATCGTAACTCAGGCCAGTTCGATAAACTCAATGGTGCAATAGGTCGATTTAATCTGACGTTCACGGCACCTTTTCTCACTTGGCGATTTTTAGTAATAACTCGACTCCAGCGCCACCTGGCAGCACTGTTTTGCAATAGTATTGCTCTCACCATTACCAATACATCTTTTAAATATTAGCTAAATCGGATTATATATAAGATTTTTAGTAATAACTCAACTACAGCGCCAACTGGCGGGTTAAATTGTTAAACTAAACCATCCAGAGACCCACTCAAACACAGACACAAAATTTCGTTAAAATCCGGACACCCATTTGGGAGGATTCCACTCACAAACACACAAAAAAAAGAATTATAAATACATTCAAAGATAGATAGAAGTCGGTAAGCCCTTTTTCAAATAGCCCACGCTCTTTTTCAAATAGCCTCATTTTTCTCCATGAGTATGGGCTTAATATTATATACATACATATCTCCATACGAAGTTCCAGTACTGTAGCATAAACCCTTCCAGAGATATTCAGTATGAAAATTCGGATTGTATGGGAGGTGCCACGTCCCCTTTACCAATAGCTCCAATTTTCCTCCAAGGGTGTGCGTTTGATTTCATATGCCTCAATACCAAGTTCCGGTACTATACCATGAACACTTTCAGAGATATGCAGTATGAAAAACTCGGTTTGTATGGGAGGTGCCACGCCCCTTTTCCTAATAGCTCCAATTTTTCTCCAATAGTGTGGAATTTATTTCATATATCTCCACACCAAGTTCCAGTACTATGCCATGAACATTTCCAGAGATATGCAGTATGAAAAACTCGGTTTGTATGGGAGGTGCCACACGCCCTTTTCCAATAGCTCAAATTTTTCTCAAACAGTATGCAATTGTTCGTATATCTCCATGCCAAGTTCCAGAACTCTACCATGAACACTTCCAGAGATATGCAGTATGGAAAATTCGGTTTCTATGGGAGGTGCCACACGCCCTTTTCCAATAGCTCAAATTTTTCTCAAACAGTATGCGATTGTTTTCGTATATCTCTATACCAAGTTCCAGAACTCTACCGCGAACACTTCCAGAGCTATGCCACGCCCCCTTTATGTATCGAATTTTTGTTTAGCCTATAACCATCCTTGGGGCTTGTGTGGCAGGTGTCCGAAATTTCAAAAAAATCGGTTCAACCATCTCGAGCTTTGCGAACACAAAAAAAAACGGCTTTCAAAATAATATATTAGTATAGAAGATAAAAAATCATTTTCCGTTTAAGTTGCTGGTGAAACCAGCAGTTATAGGTTAAAAATTACTTATTACACTTATCTTTCATTTTCGTGAAATATTCAGTTACCATAAGGGCACAAAAAAACTTTTTCAGAAAGACAAGATGCGGTAAATTGTTCTAAGGACACAAACGTTCTCGCCGAAGCCGATTAGAGAGTATTTTTGCCCAGTTTCATACTCCTTCATAAGACCTCCAGAGGACTTTAAAATTAAAGCTATGCAACTCAGTAAATCTGGGTACTCGTTTTCATATATTTTTAAGTTATTTTCGATTTCGTGAAAAAGTGCAGTTTTGTAGCCCATTAAATAACACTGTGCGACACTAAAAATTACCTGGGAAGTTATGTAAATTTTCTGGTAGGGGTTTTCGAGTAAAACAAGAATCGAAATATGAAATTTGCCAAACACCCCCAAAATCTTGGTTTACCGTTAAAAAGCCGGTTTTTCGTACTTTTGCGCACTTATAAGCTTGTAACTTAGTTCATTATGAACCGAGTTTCGGTTTATTGCCGGGTTAAAAAAAAATACACTTGGGCCTTTCGAACGATATATATGTGAGTAAAGAAACCTTAAGAGATCTGTGTGTATTTACCCAGCAAACACATTTTTTTTTTAATTTTGGTGGGATTTTTGCGCACTATTTTATAAGAAAACTATACTAGTCCTAAATTGATTGTAAAACCAGATTTAATAACGAAAAAAACTAGTGTTTATTTTAAAAAATCGGATGAAAGTTTGCTGATTTATAAAATTTTTTATGAAAACAAATTTTTTATCAAAAATATTATTTTTATATATTATATTAAATTGAAAAATGATTATTTTTTGTGAAAATATAACTTACTATCTAAAAAAAACATGTAAATCAAAATTTCAAAATTTGTAGAACATTTATAAAAATTCGACGAAATTGAATAAGTGTTCATCACAATTTGTGACATTTTAATCAGATTTTTTAGAATTGTTTTGAGTATGTTATATTTTGAAGCCTACTAAATTTTAGTATAATAAGGTGGAAGTTGGAGGAAGCTCGGACTTACCGTTGATTTTTGGCAATTTTTTGTTCGCGCATTTTGTTCAACAATTTTTTGCATGGGTAAAATGAGCAACACCTTCCACAAAATTTACCAACTATGAACGGTAAGTCCTAGCTACTTAAAATTTGCACTTTGAATTGAATAGGTTACAAACAAAACTGCATACTCAGAATTTGTATAATAAATCTAATTAAAAAGCTTAATATTTTTATGAACCTTTGTCGAATTTTGCTAATTTTTCAAATTCTGACTTACATGGTCTTTGTTAGATAACGAGCCACACTTTCATAAAAAGGAATAAACATTAAATAATCGAAAGGGGAATAGCCAAAGAAAGCTAAAATGTCTCTTCCCTATTTATATTTTCGTCACTCTATCTTTTTTTTGAAGGTATTAGTATTCTTTTTTATAATTTCTATTTATATACTAGCCTGAACCCGCGGCTCTGCTCACGTGGTAGAGGAATAGCATTTTTTCCAATTCAATAAAAACAAAAAACTATCACGCATTCGTTATACGGAGAAAATGCGCAACATCATCAGCGAAGAAGTTCTCAAAAATCATTTAAAACTTGAACTTTATGATACTGAAATTGAGTGTACTACAAAACTGCATACTGAAAATTAGGTGCGATTTGAAGCGAAATGAACTATATTTCTATAAAAAATTAACAAAAAAATTAATTGTGAAAAAGAAAAAAACACTGTATTCTAGGTTTATATATTTACAGATAGGTAAAGGTTTTAATATGTTTGGAAAGCGCCACGCGTCGTTTTCCAGTAGCCCCAAAATCTCTATACCAATTTCCAGGACACTACCACAAATACCTCCAGAGATATACGGTATGAAAAATTGGATATGTATGGGTGATGCCACGCTCCCTTAATATATCGAAAGTCTGCAGTAGGTGACCGAAATTTCAAAAAAATCGGTACAGCCGTTCGTGAGATCACATCACCTCTTATAAAATAAGGAGCTTCTCTTTATATAATTAGTGTAGGTAACACAGGGCAACACCGATTGTGATGTGAGAAATGTTAAAGCTGTTTTTGATACACTTTTTTGTGCTGATTACGAATCTGTAAGTATAAAGTTTCCATCAGGTCCAGATTTTGAGATTTTGATTGAGTGGTGAAAGTGTAAAAAAATCGCGTTTTTTGCAATATTTGAAAAACTCTAGCAAGGAAACAAAAGGCTTAAATTAAAGCTAGA